TAACTTAAGCAAGTTTTGTAGTTCACTGAAGTACTGACGCTGTCACAAATATTCAGTCCACTGTACTGCAGAAAATTCAGTGCACACATTCAGTTAACTACACAACAAGTGTCACAAAAATCCAGTTAGCACACTACACAAAAATCCAGTTAACCAACATTTCAAAAAATTCAGTTTCAGCACACTACAATCTTCTCATAAAACATGACTTACAAGACTACTAAACAAATATGAGAACTAATATCGCCTAATTTGTTGTCCACATGCCTTTGATCAATGACTTTCACACATAACGTTGCCTCCTTGGAATAGCTGTAAAACAAGTTCCCTCCTTGAAAACGCCCAGATAAACCCTAGCACGATTCGGGATGCATAGGGACCAATGCCATCCAGAATTGATCCATACACATATCTCACACAAAAACATGGATTAAAGATGTAAATCAAGCACGGGAAAGGATGATTCTGTCTCCGGTTAACCCTACCTGACACATACATGAGAGAGGACCAAAAAAATCAAGATGGGGGGAGATAGTGATGCATTGACTAACCATACGAAGGCGATGCTTCGCCAGGAAGTCGATGTCGTAGGTCATACACCGTCTCCGACGTAGATCACTGTGCCGCACAACCCCTATCGCTGCCTGGGAATGATCCGCAAAGAGAGAGAAATAAGAGGGATACGAAGCGGTGGGGACTGAGACTGAAGAGGCAATGCCTCTTGGTATGTAGGCACAAAAGTGAAGGGGTCGCCTCTTCCCGTCATTCAAAGGTTTTTTTCGCAACATTAAATTAAATGCAAGGGGTTTTCTAAAAAAATCTGCCATGCGAGGCTCACCTAGCGCCTCGCCCGCTACCACTCGCTGACCGTGGGCCAACGCCATGCTGGCATGCCACATGAGCAGACCATACGGCCGGATACAGGAGGAGGCACCGTATTCACATGCGAGGTCATATTCAAACTCTAGTTTTATGTATTTTACAAGTATCATGATCATTTCTCCGAGGTCATGGGAAGAGGGAACACGAGCAACGTTGACTTTAACTGGGATGAGCTCAACATCCAGCCCCTTGATCTTCAAGAGCTGGCTGACTCCATCCCTGAGGATGAGGTGTGGGCGGCAATTAAGGAGATGCCTAGTGACCAGGCCCCCGGCCCAGACGGGTTCACATGCACTTTCTTCAAGAAGTATTGGGGATTTATCAATTATGATATCATGTGGGTTATCTAGCGGTTCGATTCCCTCCACATGTCCAACCTCCAATGGCTCAACTCCACCAATGTTGTGCTCTTACCCAAGAAGAAGGGGACGTAAGGCATCGCCGATTATAGGCCAATTAGTCTAATTCACGCCATTCCCAAGATCATTGCCAATATCCAATCCTTGCGTCTGGCACCCCACATGGATGCTTTTGTCTCCAACACGCAATGTGTTTTCATAAAGCGGAGGAACATTCATGACAAGTTCATGTACGTTTCGCAATTTTGCTCGCCGGCTCCATAAGTGCAAGACCCCCGCGCTTCTCTTCAAGCTTGACGTTGTAAAAGCATTTGATTCCGTCAAGTGGGAATACATCCTCGACCTTGTGCAAATTTTGTGATTGGATTGCTGCACTCTTTCCTCTTCTTCTTCGGTATTTCTTCTCAAGGATTGCATGCCCCCCTATCAAGCATGGTCGCGGGTTGCGACAAGGGTACCCCCTCTCCCCGCTATGTTTTGTAATGGCGATTGACCCTCTTCACCAAATCCTCGACCTTGCAACTCAAAAAGACATTATTCACAAGATCCGTGGGCGTGGTGCCTTGGTGAGAACTTCCCTCTATGCGGACGACGCAACCGTTTTTATGGCTCCAATCAAGGGGGGCATTGACAACCTCTTGACCATCTTAAGGGGTTTCAGTGACGTGACCGGCCTTTGCACTAATTTCCATAAAAGTGTGTCATGCCCATTCAATGCAATCAACTTGATTTGGGGTATATCCTATGCAACATCGCGACAACCAGAGCTTCCTTCCATGTGAAATGGGCCTCCCTCTTTTGATTTGGCAACTGGGGAAGGTTGACTTCCAATATCTGGAAGATAAAGCGGCCGGGAAGTTGGTAACTTGGGAGAGGCAGCACATCACCACCATTGGGCGCACAACCCTCATCAAATCGGTCATTACCTCTCAAACGGTCTACTCCATCACGCCCCTAATTGTACCGCAAGGATCTCTTAACAACCTCAACAAGATCGAGACGACTTTACTTTGGTCCAGTAAGGACAAGATGTCCGAAGCTAAATGCAAGGTTAATTGGGAGGTGGTTTGTCGCCCCTCGGAGTAGGGGGGCTCAGGGTCCTAGACACCGACAAGTTTGCTCATGCTCTCCGGCTGAGATGGCCTGTTAGGAACGGAAGGATGCCCACAAGCTTTGGATGGGATTGGGTAAACAATGTGAAGAGGACCTTAATTTTTTCTATGCCTCCACAACTATCACTGTTGGCAATGGTGCCAGGACGCCTTTTTGGGACTTCCCTTGGCTGCTCGGCCACAAACCCAAGGATATTGCTCTTCTCATTTTTGAGGCATCAAGGAGGAAGAGTTGGGAAGTGTGTGAGGCTCTAAATGAGAATGCTTGGATGCTCAAGCTCAACCGCAACATCGTCATCTCTGGAGACTACATTCAGGAATTCTTCACCCTTTGGATGCTTATGCGTGATTTCCACCTTGTCAAGGACACCGAAGATGACGTTGTTTGGAAGCACTCCACGGATGAGATCTACTCAACGGCCACCACGTTCAAGGCGCAATTTATTGGCTTGACGCTTTCACCCATGGACTCCATGGTTTGGAAAGCATGGCCCCTCCAAAGGTTAAATACTTCTCTTAGCTGGCTTTGCAAGATCGTATTTGGATCACCGATCGGTTGAAGAAACGTGGCTGGGCCAATTGTGGGGTTTGCTCTCTTTGCAAAAAGGAACAAGAAACAGGCGCCCACCTATTCTTCAAGTGTCGTTACACCATTAGGATTTGGAGTTCGGTCATCGAAAAGTTTGATCTTGCCCACATGGACACCTCCACGTGACACTTAGAGGAATCCGTCAAAGATTGGCGGGAGAAGCGAACCGACATGTCGAACCCTAGTAGATGTGTGATGCCTCCCTCATCATGCTCGTCTCTTCGACAATTTGGAACAAAAGAAACTCTTGTGTTTTCCGCCACAAGAGTGCGACGCTGCCAATTCTTTTAAAGGTTGTTGTTGATGAGGCTAAGCTTTGGGTTACTGCGGGTGCTAGGAATCTAGGGCATATTGTAACGCGAGAATAATCGGATGCCGTATCCCTGGGTACTTGCAGAACTGTATTATCCCTTATTTGTAAACAGAGACAAATCTTTTGCCTCCGTTATGAAAAAAATACTTGTACAAATATATAAGAATCAAAGTGACCGTTCTAACACAAGTTTACCCGCTCTCCGCTTCCTCAAAGAAAGCGAAGAAACGAGGGTCGTGCCCAATAGAGCGAAGACGGTGGACGGGGTGCTGGAAACGGCACACATATGGCATCGACGTCGACGGCGCGCTTCCCGGATCCCGCGCTGCGCCTCGGGATGCCAGTCCACGCGCACCAACTTCGCCGCGCCCGTTCGCTCCCCGGTACCGCCTTCTTCCCCCACTCGTCGCTCTGCCTCCTGTGCGCAGTACCTCTAAGGCGGCGTCGTCGTCGCCAGCAGGCTGTTCGACGCAATGCCTGAAAAGAACGTCGTCCCCGGGAACACTCTGTTCGGTCGGCACGTCAAGACCGAGCGACTGGGCGTCCCAGCGAAGCTCTGTAGGTGTTCGTGCGCATGCTGGAGGATGGCATCAGGCCTACGCAGGCCAGCTTCGAGCTTCGAAGAACCTGCTGGCTGCTGCTAGGAAGGACGTCGAGATTTGGAACCTCCTCGCAGTGCTTTGGGTGGTCTAGCATGGCAAGGCCCGAAACAAAGTGGCCTTGACGGCGTTCGCCTTCCGTTGCGTTGCGTCAGATCGCCGAGCTCCATCGTGAGCACGTCAACCTCTGGATTTTGCTACTTCCTCCCGCATCGGCTGATGCGACTGTGAGTGTGGAATATTCTTCTACTCCCTCTGTCCCATAATGTAAGACGTTTTTTTGACTCTAGTGTAGTGTCAAAAAATGTCTTACATTATGGGACGGAGGGAGTAGTTTGTTTGCTCCGTCCCCTAAACACGCCCCCTGTCTAAAGCTCCTGTTAATTTAATTTAATTTGAATTTTTTATAACAGGTGAGCCCCCTCCTCAACCCTGGTGCGATTCCGCGTGTGGAAAGTCTGGAAGATAATCGATTTGCGGTGCCTCTTGACCACCCACCCCTCACTAACATACCCCAGCCCCCACCAACCCACTGGTTGCGTTTATCAACCTGCTTCTTCGTCTCCGTGCTCAACCACATCTCGGCTCCAAATAAGCCGATCTACACCTTTGCATCTGGGAGCTAAACTACCCTCTGGAGCACGGAAACCACAGGGCTTCAGCTAAGCAGGTTCGTATTACTACCTTCTTCTCGGGTATTTGCTTCCCTAGCTACCTTTACGACCGATATTTTATCATCGCGTTGGGCTGTGTGCTGCACACAGGATTAAACCCCCAGCTCCGACATTTCAAAGATTTTTCT